TCACACACACACACACACACACTCACTCTCTCTCTCACACAAACGCACTCTCACACACAAACTCTCTCTCTCACACACACTGCAGCAAACACACACCCTGAAATAAACACGCAGCTCCAGCGTAACCAGTCACTGTAACTGTTATTGCTTCACAAGCTTTCGTTTCGATCAGATCCCAGTTTAATTTTGATTTGATTCAATGTTGATTCATCCGGGAATATTTCAGTTACGACGGCAACAGACACATTTGATCATTACATTCTCCAAACATTACTGGTCTTTACACATTTGTGAACCTGGAGCACAAAACCAGTCTTAAGTGTGAGTCTTAAGATTTATAGATCATCTGAAAGCTGAATAAATAATCTTTCCATTGATGTATGGTTTGTTAGTATAGGACAATATTTGGCTGAGATACAACTTCAATATTTGAAAATCTGGAATCTGAGGGAGCAAAAAAATCTAAATATTGAGAAAATCATCTTTAAAGTTGTCCAAATTAAGTTCTTAGCAATGCATATTACTAATCAAAAATTACGTTTTGATATATTTACGGTAGGAAATTTACAAAATATCTTCATGGAACATGATCTTTACTTAATATCCTAATGATTTTTGGCATAAAAGAAAAATCTATAATTTTGGCCCATACAATGTATTGTTGGCTATTGCTACAAATATACCCCAGCGACTTAAGCCTGCTTTTGTGCTGCAGGGTCACATTTAGGCCTAAAATTAAAACTTATGCAAACAGTAAAACTTCCATTTATTTGGATTAAACCATTTTAACAAACTAATAAACTTGCTTACTGATGCACATTTGTCAGTCATGCATAAATAAAACAGGTCAGCTTTCTGCACTCAAAAAACATGTTTATGAACTATTCGCACCCGTTTGATTTTATTTATACAATGCATTTATTCATATAGCGTAAAATCATGTTCACTGTGAATACAATTATATTTATTTAACAAAAAATTATCAATTTTAAATGGTTAGCTGTGCAACAAGCAATTTAATTACAATTGTAAATCCAACAATTAGATAAAATTATTTGCATTTATTGATGATAAACCTTATTATTATTGTGCATTTAGTATCTGACCCGTATTATGTATGACTGATAAATATGCATCACATTCAGTTCATTAGCTTTTTTTTTTCCTTTTTTTTAATTAGCGAAGTTAAATTATTTTAACCCAAATGGATAGAAATTTTATATGCAATTCAAAACTTAATTTTAGGACTATTTATTCATTTGAGTGCAGGTTTATATTATATATATTTAAAAAAAAGGCAAATGTATACACTATTTTGTGTGTCATTTTCTCTAGATATTATATTAGCCACTAAAAAACACACACACACATTGGGCAACTAACTGAATTAGCAGGCAAAGCAAAAATAGTCCAACTTGTGTATAAACATCTGTATAATAAAGTAAATATAGTAAATCTCATAATCATGCTGTGGTTCATCAGTCATTTGATGACCCGTGACCTCGAGCTCACGAATCTCAGCCGGCATATTCAGAACAAACCGAGAGCAATCCTGTTTGTGCTGCGCTGAAGACGGGTTTAGAGCGACAAAGGCAGGTGAATGATGATAATTCTATTCCTTTCTGCAGGTGCATTACAGCAGCTTCTGGTATCTGACTCTTACAGCTTCTGGGGAACCAAAGGATGATGCAGAGCTATTTCTGGCACAGTAAGAGCCAATTACAAACGAGCAGCAGATCACATGATGCCAGCCTCAGCCAGTAAGAACAAGACGACCTCAAGTGTGTTCATTCATTATAGTGTGTTCATATTCCTTAACTTCAGAATTAAATGTAACAGAAAACAAGACGCCACAGAAGCAAAGACTAACGCTCTCTGCTGCTGCACTGATCTGACGCCGCAGGAAAGGCACATTAACGCAGTGAAAGTGAAGTCTAACAGGACTCACGTCAAACTTGGGTGTGACCTGTCCGCTGCTGCTGTACGTCTCTCTGAAGCAGTCGCTGAAGGGCAGCAGGAGGCCCATGGCCAGGATCCTGGAGCACAGCTTCTCGGCCTCCTCTGGCTCTCCGGAGTCCTGCTGCTGGAAGAAGCGCTCCAACAGCGTCCGGCCTGAGAAACAGCAGACTCGGTCACGTTATTATGCAAACGCTGACGTGAAACAATGTCGGCATACCAGTGTTAATTTTGACTGCCAATTTTGATTTAGTTTTAGTTATAGTCTTTTGACTAAAACGCCATTTCAAGTTTCATGTTTGTTTTATTTATACAGTAGGGTTGTGATGGTGAGGCAATTTTCCCACCGGTTAATCGCCACGTGACAACACAGATAATACCGGTCTCTCTGTGGGGGCGGGGGCGTTTCCTCGCTTATAAAATATATAATATCGCTTTTAAATAGCTTGCAAAAGCGGCGTGTGCATTTTACTTTCACTTTCAAATAGAGGCAATTCGGGATAAAGACTGTCGTTCGGCACGCTGCATTGAGCAACCGCGTTCAGTTTTTAATTGTACTGTCTGTTCTTTTACTGAACTAAATGATTTTCATTACTATAAAAAAAATCTAAACGACGGTGGGGGTCGGTGGCGCAGTGGGTATGTGACATAACCGGTGTTGTGGCTTAACAATGGTATCACCGTCAATCGCAGCAAGCCTATTATATAGCACATTTAAAACAGCAAGCACGGCTGACCAAAGTGCTGAACAAACAAAGACATAGAACACATGGCAACCCACAAATTCATACCATAAACTCACAATTAATTAAAAGCCAAAGAAAATAAATAGGTTTAATCAAAAGCCAAAGAGAAGAAATATGTTTTAAGAGACCATTTAAAAACAGTTAAAGACTGTGCCGATCTGATATAGTCTGGAAGGCTGTTCCACGGCCCTATCCCCTCTATGCTTTAACCGTGATCTGGGGACAGAGAGAAGTCTTTGATCACCAAACCTCAGATTACGTGTAGGATTGTATGGACAAAGTTGATCAGACAGATTATTTATAGATTTAAAAACATAAAAAAAGAATTTTAAACTCAATTCTAAAATGCACAGGTAGCCAATGCAGCGATTTCAAAATTGGAGTAACGTGATCAAATTTACGTTGTCCTTTGAGGAATTTAGCAGCGGTGTTTTGTACTAGTCGGAGACGAGCGATGGAAGATTTAGAAATGCCGAAATAAAGAGAGTTGCAGTAGTCCAAGCGAGATGTAATGAGTGCATGAATAGCAATCTCTAAAGTTTTCTCAGAGAGAAAATATTTAATTTTGGAGAGAAGACGTAGCTGAAAAAAAACAAGAATAACCGCATTTATTTGTTTGTCAAATTTGAGACTCTGATCCCAGAACACAGCTAGGTTCTTGATACAGGAAGAAGTGAAGGGAGCAAGGTAGTCCAGATCGATACCTCTGCTCCCTGAATTTTCACTGGGGCCAAAGACTATAACCTCGGTTCTTGATTCATTCAAAAATAAGAAACTGAGAAAACCACGTTTTCACTTCATCAAGGCATGCAAAAAGAGATTCCAGAGCAGCCTGTTTATTTAGTTTCAGAGGTAAATAAATTTGGGTATCATCTGCATAGCAGTGAAATGATACACTATGCTTTCTGAAAATAGAGCCCAAAGGAAGTAAATACAAAGAAAAAAAATGGGTGCAAGAATAGAACCCTGTGGCACTCCACAGGAAAGCACGCCATTTAGTTTGAATCATATTTTAATCAGGTGAATTGTTTTTAGTTTTAATCACATTTTAGTCATCTAAATATCATAAGATTTTAGTCGACTAAATTTACAGTAAATTTAGTCGGCTAAAATCTAATGGGTTTAGTTACAGTGCATTTAATAAGCATTTCTCTAAAATTTCCAAACTCATTATATAGGTTTGATATTAAGGTTTTATGATAGACACTGATTTAACTGTGGTGACACACAACATGCATTTATGTTAAAATTAAATAAAACCCCTTCTCATAAAGAACAAGAACATGGTCTTCTTTTTAATGAAATACCAATGGTTATATAGGCTAATTATGCATTCTTTATAGCAACTTGTTTACCACATTCTTCATTCTTTCAAGCAGACATATGTATTTCTATAAATAAATTTAGATTAATCTTTAGGGCTACTAAAGTTGTTCAGTCAAGAGCAGTGAGTGATTTTCTGTCTTTCTGTTGTTGCTTGATTAACATCAATGACTCGGACAATAGCAACTAAATTAGGCTGCTGTCCCTTTAAAACCGAATGCACAGCTGCAATGCATGCAATGTACTGATGCACGTTCTCCCTGCTGTTGACGTTCACTTAAGACGTAATCAACTGTGTTTACGTCAATACTAGTCAAAACGGACTATTTGACATCATTTTGTGTAATTCTCCGTTCATGCGATGCGAGAGAGTACTCGCGCGCTGTGAGAGACGCTTTCTGTGTGTGTGTATGCTTCAGTGTCTGCGCTCAGAAAACCAGACCGAATTGAGTTCTCTCTTGCGTCGTCAGATTTATCCATATGTCTGCTATTCTCTTACTCCCACATATTGACATTTTTGAATGTTTTATGCGACGTGCAGCAAGTGTATGTTAGCTTATGTCCCGCCGGTTCATATGTACGCATCTAAACTACGAACCACGCAGCAGATTCGTTCTGAATGAATCTCTTCCCAAATCATCCCTCCCTAACATTTTCATCTTTTATTAGTTGACGAAAATGTCAATAGATTTACGTCATAGTTTTTAGTCATTCAAAAAGAGTTTTAGTTCGTTATCGTCGGTGAAAAAAATGCTGTTGACGAAAATTAATCATCAACGAAATTAACACTGCGGCATACCCATAAAATCACACTGATACCAGCAGACTCTGTGAACTATCATGCTACTTACACTAGAGGTCTGCGCGGGACTGTTTTTTTAGTCCCGCTCCTGCAAGGTTCTATTCCGCACCCACCCGCTCCCGCTATATATTCACTCTTTGTTCACCCACTGTCCACTTAGAATAATTTTCTTCCCGACCCGACCGTTCCCGCTGAATTTAGATCTCGTTTCCAGAATCTCACATTTAAATTTCCACTACTGAAAGAAAGAGAGATAGGCTGACAAATAAAAGTGTAGTCTGCACAAAATTGTATGTTATTTTATTCGTCTTGTCAAGAGTCTTGAATTTATTTACTTTGACTTGAATTTATATGAATTATCTTAAGACACAAAATTCGTTTAATATTTTATGCAACACCGTAGGAAAAAAAAGTGTCAGAGAAAATAAAAATGTAAAAAAATTGTATTTCTTATTTTTATTCGTCTTGTCAGGATACAATTCGTTTAACATTGACATCACAATAGGGAAAAAGTTTCGCAGAGAGAAAAAAAAAAAAAATGTAGGTTGTACAAAAATAACCTAATTAGATATTTATTCGTCTTGTCAAAATACTAAATTCGTTTGACATTTTTGACATCTGTTAACACAGTAGGAAAAGTGTCGAAGAGAAAAACAAATAAATACGACATCTTTCATTTAAAATTATATGCTAAGCAAAATATAAACAAAACCGAGTTGAACGTCCTTCAAGGACAGCGCATCCACACTTTGCTCCATCCTTATTCTGCTGTCACTCATCGACAACCTGCCTGTTCTGTCTGAGGGCCGTATATTTACCACAGGTACAGCCTGCTCTGAGCATCGTTATGCACATGCTGCGCACAGACCACGCAAATAAAACGCGTGACGTTTAAAGCATGCAGCGCGTGCATAACAGTCCTGAGCGCAAGCTGTATCGGTGGTCAATAAGAATAAAGTGCAGATATGCTGTTCTAAATGGACGTCGGGAACGGGATATTGTTAGACCGCCCGCTCCCGTTCAAATTACACCAGAGTTACCGACCGCTACCGCGTTTTATTCGGGAATTTAATCCCGCGGTGCAAAAAATTTGGTCGGGTCAGACCTCTAACTTACACTATTCCTGCAGCACGAAGCCTGCACACGTTATGAGAACGTTCTGTATGCAGAGAGTAGTCATCAAGCAACACGGGTTTTTCAGAGCAAGATGACTTCTATAATGCCTATAATACTCAAATGAGACACTTTTCACAATTTTTAGCATTTTAAAATGTACAAAATCAATTGAAAAACTAAATAACCATAATGACCAAACATTGGTTGATTAATCTGTCGATCACTAGCATATAATACTCCTATCATTTCATTTACCTTTTGTACAACGAAACTGGATTTAAAATGCCAAACAACCATTTTAATCACTCACAGATGACAACTGGACGCTGCTCAATAAATTAATGAGGTCATGTGACAAGAATTTAGTATGTTAGTGCTGTTTTATATACTTTTTATACATTAAAAAGAAAGAAGTATACAGTGTACAGTATATGCAGTACATTACACTAGTATTTTCATTCCAAACAGCATGTGAATCTAATGGCTGCGTTTCAAAACCTGAGCAACATGTTTGGTTTTGAAACAGCTGGTGATTTTAATTAGTAACACAATTAACGAGTGTGTGCGTGATTGTGAATGAGTCACTGCTGCAGTGTTTCATCTTCTCACCGTCTCCACATTCACGTTAAACTCACAGTGAAAATATAAATCATTAGTCACATGATCACGGCACGCTCCTGTCATCGCAATATTTGCATAAGATCCTGCCTGAACCTTCAGCTCGCTGTAATATCATGCGACACTCTCTCTCTCTCTCTCTCACACACACACACACACACACACACACACACACACACACACACACACACACAGTGTCCTGAGTTTACAGGCCTGATCATCAACAGCTCATTAACTTCATTAGCATGTCAATAAGACCACAGAGTGTTTAAACATGCTGTCAGACAGCCAATGAGAAACAAGGTGAGGTGCATCATGGGAGATGTAGTTCTGTCCATTAAACTCAATCAATCAACACATCTGTACAGATGAACGTTATTAAATGTTGGTTTTAATACATCTGCACTGGCTTTATTAGGCAGATACTGGAAATCGAATGAGTTTAGCAGAAGAAAATGCATCTGAAATACAGTGACGTCATGCTGGAGCAACAGGAATCAGTGATCCAATCCATTTCTTAAAAACACTGGAACTAAATGATTCATGAGTCTCTACTGAATCTACAGCAAAAGAAGCAATGCTTTATGTGAGATCACAGTCTGATCTGAATGATTATTTTGAGCTGGTTCTTTTAAATCAATCAATCAAAAGGCCGGTTTGTGTGATGAAGAAACTAAGGGAAAAAAGCTCAGATTTAAAACTCTTGAAATCTGGCAACCGCAGGCATGAAAGCTTGTAGAGGCTCGTCACAAATGCAAGATAACACAAACGCCAAATTAAAAAAACTTTTCAGGATGAATAACCAGCGGGCAAATATTGCAGATGATTATGCTATTTAAAAAAATAAATAAAAAAAATTGTGAAGAAGGGTTATTACAGTCAACTAAAACCATTAAAAAAAACGATCTTCATTATCTGAAATAAAATAAATGTTTGCTGAAATAAAATATAACACAAAATACAACATCTCATTTTCATTTAGTTTAACTTGATGCACAAAAATAACTAAAACTGAAATAAAAATTCATAAAAACTATATAAACATACAAAAAACAACAGTGAAAAATACTAAATTTGAACTAAAATGGCAAATATAAAATAAAAACTAATTCAACATATTAATAAAAACTATATTAGTATGTGAAGCTGCTTTGACACAATCTGGATTGTATGAAGCGCTATAGAAATAAATGTGGCTTGAAGTTCCTCTGCTGATTATCTAGAGAATGACAAGCACAGAGTCACATGACCGTCTCTAATGTTCCTCCGTTTCCCATCGATCCGCAGAAGTCCATAGAGTAACGTGTGCTCAGAGCTACAGCAATCTGCCATCGTTCTGATTGGCCGAGAGCGAGCATGTGACGTCACTAAAGCGCCTGATCACACCACACCATCTGCTCTGGAGAACAGAACGCATACAGAGATCTTTAACTCGTGACATCCCTGAACCAAGACGCTACTGGCTTCTATAGAACTGCTTCAGAGCTGAAACTACAGTTCAATACGGAGTTCATATCTCAGTTCGGAGGAAAAAAGTCAGTATTAAGAGATAAACACATTATCTTGCAAAAAAAAAAAAACTGAATTGAGAGGTATAAAGTAAATCTCACAATTCTGGGAAAAAAGTCAGAATTGTGAGATTTATTTATCTTTAAATGCCATGTCAGCAGCAAGGCTATCTTCACGGCGAAAACAGAATAAAATGTGACCCTGGAGCACAAAACCAGTCATAAGGGTAAATTTTTTCTGAATAAATAAGCTTTCCATTGATGTATGGTTTGTTAGGATAGGGCAATATTTGAAAATCTGGAATCTGAGGGTGCAAAAAAATCTAAATATTGAGAAAAATCATCTTTAAAGTTGTCCAAATTAAGTTCTTAGCAATGCATATTACTAATCAAAAATTAAGTTTGGATATATTTACGGTAGGAGATTTACAAAATATCTTCATGGAACATGATCTTTACTTAATATCCTAATGATTTTTGGCATAAAAGAAAAATGTATAATTTTGACCCATACAATGTATTGTTGGCTATTGCTACAAATATACCCCAGCGACTTAACACTGCTTTTGTGCTGCAGGGACACATATAACAAAAGTCATACAATTAACAAAAACGATACAAGACATTTAAGGTGAATACTAGACAAAAAGACTAGAATACATTCAGCTGATACTTTTTTAAAATACGAATTGTGAGATATAAACACAATATCTCGCAATTCTGGGGAAAAAAGTCATTTTTGCCTAGATGGCATATCTAAAAATAAAGCTGACGTATAAGTCAGAAGAGCTTTTTAGCAAATATTTAGTAAATATTCAGTCTCCTGCACTGACCAGTTCATAAGAAATGAGATGTAAATAAACACACGTGCGTAAGACATAAAACATATGTAAACACATGCATCACTGCACCGCACATGTGCAAAAAAGGGATTTTTTTAATCCAGTCCAATTAAGAAAACAGTGCAGTGTTTACATTCTCCATTTTTTCTTGTTGATTGGATTATTTCAGGTACTCAAATTAAATTGAATTGGGCTCAATCGGATCAACTGCAGTGATCACATGAAGGCTTTTCAGTCCGATTAAGCCATCGACACCACTGCTAACAGATTATTTAATTGCATGTAAATGCAGCTACTGCTGAACAAGCGGTTTCATATTATTAGTGGAGTTCTTCAGGATTCAGACGGATTCATTCAGACCCAGAGCTGTTCATCAGTCACTAACACAAAGAGCTCTGCCAGCACAACACAGACTGAGAGAGAGAATATATTCACTCCACGGCCAAATCAACAGACAGAGCAGCCTCTCTTTCACCGACGGTCCGGTTTATCTGCATCTCTCACACGCTGCTTCTGCTTTGCTCTGCGCTGTTTTTGGTGTCAGTGTGTGACTCGATCAAACTCAACATGCTTCCCTTCACTGCTCAGACACATCTCCAGACATCCCATAATGCCTCTCTACAGGACAGAGACTCAATCTGTGCTCAGAATGGAATACTGCAAACTGCACTGTATATACTGCCTACCACTTAAATTAATGCATATTATTGAAAAAAAGCAAAATAAAGCAAAAAGCCCCGTGAAGCCGTGGTTTACAGTGAATTTATAACAGCTAAGGGGTGTTGTGACGCGAAGCGGAGTGCCTAAAAACCCCTTAGCTGTTATAAATTCACTGTAAACCACGGCTTCACGGGGATTATTGCTTTTATAAAACGGTTATTCCATATACGTAGTACGGTTTCACAAAATAAAACAGAGCAAATAAAGTGTAATGATATTAATAAAAACAGTATTCTTCCACCAAACAATGTAGCTCCTCAGAAACAGTTGTGGTTGCTACAAAGTGGTTGCCGAGCAACACACAAACATAAACAAAGGTGTATGTTACTTTGTAGAGTCATTTACAACAGCTTCGAACGCGGCTCAGCCAATCAGAATCAACTATCCGCTTTATAAAAGAGCATTTCAAACAGTTGTGTGCTACATTGTTGTCACATGACCTTATTACAGTGTATGTTTAACTCCGTCAGTGGCATAACAAATAAATATGGTTACTTTGGGATTTGTGGATTCATTGTGACCGATTTTGTTTGATTACATCACACCGGAAATGGAAGATCGAGCACATTGCATTGTGGGATACTGTGTCCAGTGCAAGTGTGCTTATATCGTCCAGATTTCCATGCAAACAGAACATTTTGCAAAGTGTATACTGTATACTAGTGACTGGTCAGAACTAGTCATCCAGATTAGTGCGATCAACTAGAATTTGGTAACACTTTACAATAAGGTTCCATTTCTTAACATTAGCTAGTTAACATGAAGTAACAACAAAAAATACTTCTAAATCATTTATTAACCTTAATGTTAACTTGCACTTACATGTACATTATTAAAATCAATTAAATTGATTTGTATTAAATGTAAAATATTAAATGGAACAGAGTTATCGTGAACTTACAATGAACAGTTGCTTTGTTTTTATTAACTAACATTAACAAAGATTAATAAATACTGCAATCAGTGTTACTTTAGTATCATTGATATTTTGAATCAGTTTTTATTTTTATATTTTGTTTTTATTTTAATTTTAGTTAAAGTTTTAGTAATTATGTTGTGTGTTTTTGTGATTTTATATACGACTATACCATTTTTACTTGTTTTAGTTTGTTATTTCAGTACATCAAGTTAAACTAAAATGAGGAATGTTGCCTTGGTGAATAACTGAAATAAGTTTATATAAAGCCTATATAAACTTATTTCAGTTATTCACCAAGGCAAATGTTCCTCATTTTAATTTAGAATATAAATATATACATATATTTATATTATTTTAGTTATTGTTTATTTTATTTCAAGTAACGAAAGTATTTTTTTAATGGTATCAGTTTCAGTTTAGTTAACTATAATAAGCCTGACTGTAACAAATGCATTGCTTTTTGTTACTTTGTGTAGGAAAAAAACTATTTTTAGCAATGATGCATGAAATAGGAAGAATTTAGAGATGCAACTTCAGTGCATATAACGCATCAATAACTTTTTAAAAGTACAAATGCTCCATCATAAAAGTTGCATGTATAATGACATTCACAGTAGTTTAGAAGGAGCGCAGAACTCACCCGTGAAAACCTCCTGGAAGCTGCTGCAGGTGGAGGCCTGGGTCGCAGACGCCCACTGTGTCCTGAGTGTTCCCTCCGAGCCGCCGTACTCCAGCGAGTCAGCTGACCCGGCCGCTTTCGGCGGGAGCGTGCGGAGCTGCTCGGTCCAGTCTGCGGAGCGGCTGATGGGGCCGGTGATGCTGTAGGAGCGCTGGCGCGTGACGCGTCTCCTCTTGGCCCGAGCGCGTGTGAAGAGCGGGCTGTGGGCTGGGGACGGCGCGGGCGAGCAGGAGGGCGAGCTCAGCTGCCGCGTGGTGGTTTTGATGTAGGACGTGTTGATGGGCGGGTACGGCTTGACCGCAGGCTTCAGCAGCCGCGTGGCTAGAGGACTCTCCTGCGGGAGTGTCACGCTGCTCTTGCGCCTCTGGATGAACGTGGCAGGCTCTTCGGGCGGCTCGATGATGGTGAGACACTCCAGTGAGCCCGTGGACCCGAGCCCGTCGGCGTCAGACAACGTATCCGTGCTGGGAACGTCAGGATCATCATCTTCGATGGCCTCCACGGCGCTTTCAAATGAAGCAGTGAGGTCGGGGAAGCTGGTGGTGCTGGTTGCTGTAGCAACCACTGGAGGAGGAGGAGGAGGAGGGGGGGCCTCAGGCTCTTTTGTGACCGTTTCCACGGCGACCGGAACACAAAGGGCAACAAAGTGTCCGTTCACAGCCGTCTCCTCCTCCTCCTCCTCCTCAGGGAGGCGCGGTGCACTAACAAGCATGTTTTCTGGCTTAGGAATGGCTTCCAGCACGGTGAAGGGCTCCGAGTCGGGGGTGGGAGTGTTTCGGGTTTGTTTACAATCCCAGGGAATCTCGAGCATCACGCCCTGCTTCAGACGGATGGCCTGCTGGATGTCAGCCAGCAAATCCTCCTGCTCCACGGCCGAGTGGAAGCTGTACATATCCGTGTCGGATCCGGAGCTCGCCACCTTCTTCTCCTCCTCCTGCAGACGAGGATGCTCGGGCTCGGCGTCCGAATGTCCGAGCTCATCTCCGGAGAGATCGGGTGTCTTATTGCACAGCGACGGAGCGCTGTCCAGTTCATCCAGCGATGCATCCTCTTTGGATCCGCTCGGGAAGCTTTTAGCCTTGCTCTGGTTCTTGCGCTTGCGTATGTGAGGGAACACCGAGGATCTGTCGGATTTGTTTTTCTTCTTCCCTCCCTCCCCTCGTGATTTCTTCCCTTTCTTTGTGCCGTCGTGAGCCGCGCTCTCATCCGCCGCGCCTCCTGCTTCCGAGCGCTTCAGCTTTCCGTCCTGATTGCCCATGATGAGCGGCTCTCTCACGCCATGACGGCTCCACGGTCTGCGTCTGCGCGAGCGGCCGCTCGACGTGCTTTCGCTCTCTGAGGATGATGAGAAGGAGGAGGAGAGCAGAGCGAGGGAGGAGGCTGTGACGAAAGAGAGCAGCTCGCTGTCCTCCTCTCCTCTGCAGAAGGATGCGGGTGGGATATGCGTGAGAGGGAGGCAGTACTTCTGTCGTCTGCCTCGACTCAACGCCTCCAGCAGCCTCTGCCTGAACCCTGGAGCCTCCAGCATCTGCTCCGGCTGCATCACGCAACACACACTCTCACACACACCAGCTACAGCACAAAACACAGCCATCAGCGAGCACTCCTTGCTAAACCCAAACATTAGCTTTGCAAAAATAATAAGTTTTGCTGTCAAAATTTCATATTCACAAATGTAAGTTCTCCTGCAAAAAACCTTGTTTTTTTCCTTTTAGGAAGGAAATGGAATATTATATTAATACTATACAAGTTTGTAAACGCTTTGATATAAATGTGTATTTTGTATACAGCCCCTCTAGTGTGAAATTGTTTATATCATGTATAGTGTTTGTCATATACATGTAATTTGATCTTGTTAATAAAAAAAATGTTTTGCTGACACATTTGGTTTCAGATGAGTTGTTTAGTGAAAATAGAAAGAGAATAAGTTCTTTTTAAAAAAGTGACACCCAGTTAAACCAGTGTTATTTTAGCATCATTGATATTTTTGTTAATATTAGATTTTATTTTTACATTTTCTGCTTTCATGTTAATTTTTTTCCCTGCTTTTATGTCAAAGTTTTAGTAATTGTGTTGCGAGTAGTAGTATTCATTTCTGTTGTTTTAAAATTTTATTTCAGTTTTACTTATTTTAGTACATCAAGATAAATTAAATCAAAATAAGCATTATTGAAATTGAATTATAAGTTATTTTTAGAGAACTGACAGCAGTTAAACCAGCATCTTTGAGATTTTTGTTAATATTTTGAATTAGATTAAATTTTTATATCTTCTGCTTGTTAATTTTTCTTTTTATATTTCCTGCTTTTATGTTAAAGTTTTAGTAATTGTGTTGTGTTTTGTCTTTTTTTTTTATTTATTAATTTCTGTTGTTTTAAAATATTTTTATTTCAGTTTTAGTTATATTAGCACATCAAGATAAATTAAAAATGAGAAATATTGCCTTGGGAAATAGCTGAATTATTATTATAAATTTTTTTTTGCATTTATTTTATTTAAGCAACAATTTTTTTTTTATGGCTTTAGTTGTAGATATATAACTATAATAACCCTGGGTTAAAGATAATTTATAAAATGAGCCTGTTTCTGAACAAAAACTCAAAAAATGAAAAATTGTTTAAAACCTCTTCTGTATGTTTAAATAAACTGAGAAAAATAAACTAACTGTTAGAAAATCATTACAGTTTTTCATGTGGCAATGGCAGAGTTGGCATCTAGTTTAAAAAAAACATTAGCTTAAAAAAAAAAAAAGTTAATAAAACATTTATATATTCTCTGATGTTTGCACATATCATAAATTTGTCTTATTTTAAGGAATTTTAGACATTTTCACTGGAAAACTAAAACATTAGGGCTGTCAAAATGGCAGAAAAACTAAATTCGAATTTTCTACTTAAATATTATCAAAATTCGAATTATATTCAAATTTAAAATGCATAATTTCAGTTAGGGTGAAGAAAAGCTTTTGTCTTCTCTCCCGAGGCCACAAGAGGGCGCATCGAGCAAAATATTACTAATGCACGTTTTTCAAAGCATAAGATAACATGACTATCCGTGGAAAAAAAGTGCATAATGTTTAAAATTATGTTTATAAACCAATTATAATTAAGTTGCTTAAACAACTATAAACAAAACAGCATCATATATGTATGCATAGTTTAATACAAAGGGCCGAAAGCCAATCACAGAGAGTACATTTTTCATTTAAAAACACGAGATGCAGTCAGATGGGAAAAACCCCGCCATAAGTCGAGATATGTTTTTTCAAAGTTGAACTTGCATTAATTTTACATGGCTTTCTAAACATGCGGCTCTTTTGTGCGAGACGCGAGTGCAACGCTGATAGATGTCCCTCTAGAAAGTGCGCGTAATATGTGTTCTGTGTGAACGGCTTGGTTTCAGTTTTGATGTAAACAAGATATTCTCCGCATTGACGTTCTCTTTTCCCGCAATATTTGTATTTAACAACGCAGCAGCGCCATCTAGTAGCTTCAACTGGATAAGCTAACAAACACATTATAATGCTACGACACTCACAGTAGGTGCGTTTCCATTACAGATTTGCGCAAAACTTTGGCGATATTTTATAAATGTTGATAAAAAAGTATTGCGAAATGACGGTGTTTCCATTAACCAATGTTATGCGACTAAAACGTAACCTTTTGCCTCTCGCGATAAGTCATGGCAACGGATTTTGGCTATATTTATTCAAAGGAGGCTTATGCGTGAATTTTTAAAGAAGCAGCCAAGAGAGCCGCTTCAGAAACGTGCGTGGCGCGGCTGGAATGAACCATAGACTGTATAAAAACATAAAACACAAGCACTGAGTGGCTGTAATCAGCTTCAGTGACCGTATCAGAGCCACACTGCACCGCAGACGTGTGCAGTGTAAATTGTCTAAGGGGGAAAGCCCCTTATACTGGAGCGCAGCCACTTATGAAGTGTTTCTTGGAGGTTATAGTACATTGAAGAATGATCATATGACTTTTTACATATGGAGGTTATAGTACATTGAAGAATGACCATATGACTTTTTACATATACGCCATGTGACCTGTAAATGCGAAAAAGCCGTTTCCATTGCAGTTTTGCGAATTATTCCTTTTTCGCATTGCCCGAAAAACCACCTCATGTGAGCGTAAAAACTTTTTTGCGATATATGGGCGTTTTTGCAAAATTGACGCGTTTCCATTAGGCGTATTTTCAATTCTCAATTTCAATTTGCGCAATTTGAAGGGTAATGGAAACACGCCTATTGTCATCGCATCTCGTGCGCCGCTAAGCTGCCGCCTTAACGCACACCTAAAATTGTGCATTTTTATTTTAAATTCGATGAATATTCGAAAAAAAATGTTGACAGCCCTAACAGACATGCAGTTCTGACTAACATTTAAACTTGTTTCATCAGTCGTTTAAGACACAAAATATGCACAAAAAAACAAACTAATTAAATCCGTTTCCATAGGATTGACAGCAGTTTGCAACATCTATAAATTCAGACGGAATTAGAGTGTGAACTGAAAACTAATTTACACACTCAGAAATCAATTAGCTTTTCAGACTTTTTATGCCTAAATTCAAGCTATAAAACCAGTCTCAATAGCCTTAACACGTTCGCTTATCAGATAAACTGATCTGATTTTAGGTATGTTTAGATATAATAATTTTGTGGTACCCTGATGTACTTCCGTTATTAATTTTCTACTACAGTTCTGTCCTATGCAATCATAAATAATTCTCATGACTAAGCAATACATCGGCGTCGAGGAAGTCTACACTGCAAGCATGTCATTGAGCGCACTTGCGCCGTAGGAGTTGTGACACGACTGAAAGCTCGTCTGCAGTGTAGCTACTCATGCTAACAATACGCTAATCATGCTAGAGATATGCTAGCAACACGTTAACTACATGCTAATCATGCTAGCAAAATGCTAACATCATGCTAAAAACATGTTAGCAGCATGCTAACAACATGCAAATCATGCTAGAAACATACTAACAACATGCTAATTATTCTAGATACATGCTAGCAACATGTTAACGACATGCTAATCATGCTAGAAACATGATTAACAATATGTTAGCATGCTGAAAACATGTTAACATCATGCTAATACTGTAGAAACATGCTAGCAACATGTATCAACACCCATCCATCTATCTATCTATCTATCTAAATTTTAAACTTCACATCGGTTTCAAACTTTTCAAGTCTTGACACACTTTTTTTATCTAGTTATTATTATTGGAAGCAGTTAGACGCTCACAGAACAGGTGAGTTTTCAGGTGAAGACTGGGCTGTTAGGATGGAGTTAGGTAGGTCATTAACTAAAACCAGTAACCTAGATTACGTTACTAACTAGTTTTCATCCTATAATCTGTAACGGACTACAAGTTGCATGTAATCTAAGTAGTCATTATGCGCAAATAAGCACACTACCCTTCATTTATTTCTATTATTATTATTATTAGTTGTTGTGACCTTTGCTGGTGACCTTTGCCGGTGAACTCGCGTGATGACGTCACGACGCCCACCTGCAGCGTAGACCGTTGATTATAACAGAAATCCTCACGAGGACTTTACAAATTACTGACTGACAGTTCGCCAGAAATAACAGAAGAAAGCGGAGTTAAACGGACTCCGGTAGATCTCTCGTGATCCGCGTGAATCTGAAAGTGAAATCAATTAAATAATTCAACTGATCATTACAATCTCTTCATTTCAAAGACGGCTTCAAGTCTGTTTCTTAATAAATAAAAACATGGATGAAATGTCCCCCGTGGCATTAACCCTGACTATCATTATCTGTGCTGCTGACGGTGTTGATACTCACTCATGAATCGCTGCTCCGTCACGACCGCGTGTTTGTGTTCGTGTTTGTGTTCGTGCTTCCCGCCGCCAGGTTTAAATGCGTCACCTGAGCGCTTGATTCCTGCTGCGACAGCGACACCCAGCGGCCAGGCGCAGTCATTACACGCGGCACCAGTGCGATTTGATAAAGCAGTCCAATATGACAAGCTTTAATAGAGAGAAAAGTCCGACTTCATCTGAGTCTGTTTAAATAACTTCAATAAATGTGTGGTATGATATTAAAAAAGTTTGCATCTTCCTTCCACACGATGGACGGTTAGGAAGATTTATCTATCTATCTATCTATCTATCTATCTATCTATCTATCTATCTATCTATCTATCTATCTATCAGTTTTGTATAAATTTATAAAAATGTCAGCGGGTTTAATGCTTACATATTAAAAAAATTATTTACATTTTAAATATATCTATCTATCTATCTATCTATCTATCTATCTATCAGTTTTGTATAAATTTATAAAAATGTCAGCGGGTTTAATGCTTACATATTAAAAAAATTATTTACATTTTAAATAATTATTTAAAAAAATGTAAAAAAATATATATTTTTTTAACATTAATTAAAAAACCTTTTATCATTATCACTGAATTGTATCATAATTTGAGCACATTAATTTTTTATTTTGATGTACTAAGCCAGTGTTTCTCAACCTCCTACCTATTCAAACAAATGTAGTCTAATCATCTTCACTAAATATTATAAAGTTGATTAGTATGTGTTTATAACGAGGACTGTTATTATATTTACAGTACCTTTCAAATGTATGGGTCATTGTGATTTTTAAGAAATTACTTTCATTCAAGGATCCATTAAATTGCTAACAAAAAAAAACAAAAAAAAGACAGTGAAGAACTTTTTACAGTAAATTATTTGAAATGAAGTGTAATAACAGTAATTTACCGTTTTTAAGCACGCTGGTGATTTTCAGTGCTACAGCTTTGGTGATGCTGAGATCTGATATAACCTGCTGCCCCAAAGATGAAATACACTCGATAAAAATAGAATAAATCCACGGCATTTTTACAGAAGAGATTTCAGTTTGTTCTTCCTGTAACTCTTGAACACAGTTTTTACTGCGCTGATATGTTTGGATGTTTTCAATTTGCTTTTGGTGAAAAATCATCATATTTATAGCTTGGTTTTAGAAAATACCCCGTTTTTTGAGAATATATTGAATTTCTGACATAGCACACATACATTTACACATGCAAACGGAAGAAATGTAAACCCTCCGTTGCTATATTTCATGATTTTGTGAGAATATTTCAAAGCTTGCTTACAAATACTTCAAAGAAGACTAAGTAGAAAGATGGGAAACATATTATTATTATTTTAGTGCTGTCCTGGTTTATATCTTTGTTATAGTCCATTGCATTTCAAATCTTGCTTTTTTTGTCAGTGTTGTGTGCCAGCTATAATAATAATAATAATAATAGTAATTAATGCATGAAATATTTAGCACCTCATACAAAACATAACCACAAAAACACAGTTGGTTTTATTGATCAAACATCTCAGTATAGACAAAACTCATATAACTTTGTACAGCCGTTTATAATAATTTATCACTCTCAGTGCTATAGTTATCAATATAAAGATTACAAATCATCCTGAATAAAGAAACAGTGAACCAAAGTGTTTCAGAAGCAATCTAATGCTTTCAGATCACAACATAAATCATGGTTTAAACAAAAGCTGATTTATTTATTTATATATATATATATATATATATATATATATATATATCTCTGCAGA